AAACAACACACAGTCAATTGGTGGAACTCCTTACCTGAGGATGTTGTGAAGGCTAGGACTATAACAGCGTTTGAAAGAGAACTGGATAAATTCATGGAGGTTAAGTCCATTAATGGCTATTAGCCAGGATGGGTAAGGAATGATGTCCCTAGACTCTGTTTGTCAGAGGGTGGAGATGGATGGCAGGAGAGAGATCACTTGATCATTACCTGTTAGGTTCACTCCCCCTGGGGCACCTGGCATTGGCCACTGTCGGTAGACATGATACTGGGCTAGATGGACCTTTGGTCTTACCCAGTACAGCCGTTCTTATGTTCTTATGTAGATTTTAAGTGATTATAAGGAATAGCAAAGAAAACAAGGCAGATTACTAAGAAAATAAAACAAAACATGCATACTAAGCTTAAAATCTTAAAGAGACTGGTTTCAAGAAATATTTTCTCACCCTATGTGTTGTTTAGACAAGTTGCAGAGTTTCTATAGCTTAGAGTTCCAGTTATTTCTCTTTCCAGACTAGACTCCTGTCTTAGTCTGGACTCAGCCCTAGCCTGTCCTACCACTCAGTTCCTTTGTCTCTTCAGGTACTTTCAGCAGTCTTTCTTCTTGGGCAGGAAGGCAATGGAGACGAGTCTTGTTTGCCTTACTCCCCAGCCTTAAATAAGATTTACACAAGGCAGGAATCTTTAGTTTGCCAGTCTTGAACTCCCACCCTTCTTTTAGTGGAAAATTACTTGAAGTCCAAGATGGTGTTTAGTATCAGGTGACAGGACCACCTGACCTAGTAGTGTCACAGGTAGGTGGCAGGACACCTCTCAGGAAGGAGTGAAATGACGATCTTCAAAGTCTTATTCCTTTTTCCTAATGGTCCATCAAGGCTAATGGCCTGTTGTCTGGTGTGTGTCTCCCAAATACACACACAGCTGTAATTGTTACATAGTCGATATTCCTAACTTTAGACACAGAAATTATACATGCATAGAAATTGGATAATCACAGTCAGTCAAATGTAATCTTTTGGGTGATACTTTACAAGACCCATCTGGCATAAAATATATCTCAGTTATGCCATGTCAATATGATAAGCATATTTCCCTAAAGAATATAGGGTGTAAAGTCACACCGGCCCTGTCTCCTGCTGTTCATTCTTCCATCTGGCATGTTCTCGCCGATATCCCGCCCTTTAATGGCTCATCTGGTGTCAAGCTCACAGTGCCCAAAACTGAGCTCACAAATCTGCCCTGCCACCCCTCTCAGCCAGTCATGCCACCTGAATAGCTCTTGGTTTCCTTATGTGTGGTGCCTCATGCCCCATTCCCCTCTATATCCATCCACCCCTCTGCCTCTGATTTGTTTCGGCATCAGAAATCTCAGGGCCTGACTCCATTGTCTTTGTGGAGTCCTTGGGGAAGATCTGAGAAGGAATTAAATTGTGCTGACACCTACGGCTGTGATAGGAGTGTTGTCTCTTGCTCCCCACTCTGATAGCAGAGGGGATGCTGACTCTTAGGGAGAAGAAGGTGATAGTCCCCATCCTGAAGAAGGAGAATGAGGAGGGAACCGGAAATAGCTGTATGGAGTGAATTTCCTGGTCACAAACAGCTGTCTGATTTGTCACAGCCAGAGACAAAACTGTGCAACTGGTGAACTTTGCACACAGGGCCCAGGCCGGGGCAGAGGAGGGAAGGGTGTTTTTGTCTCACTTCCCCATCTGTCTGTGTCACTGTGTAGAACACCAGTGCCACTCTTCCTCACCGTACAGTAATAATCAGCCTCATCCTCTGCCAGTGCCCCGGAGATGGTTAAATAGCCGGCGTTACTGGACGTGTCTTTGGAACCAGAGAAGCGAGCAGGGACCCCAGAGCCCTGGCCCTTGCTGGAATCCGAATAGTAATACAGCAGGTATCGTGGAGAATTCCCAGGTTTCTGCTGGTACCAGGACACATAGTAGTCACCGATGCCGGTCCCACTGCTCAGGGTGCAGGAGAGTTTCACAGTGTTTCCTGGGGACACTGACACTGAGGGCGGCTGAGTCACCACAGTCTGCGAGCTGGAACCTGGAAAATATGGTGGAAATCTATCAACACCTCCCTGTCT